CCAGCGGGCGGGGACCAGCAAGGCCGCTGTAGTGGCTGAGCGTGTTTATGGTCGTGATTCCGCGCAAGTGGAGAGTTTTAGTGGCGGCCCGCCGTTTGCGCGCAGTTTATGAATACGAAATGAACGCCATCGGTCGCGGCAGTAACGAGGGTCAGGTGGGCGCGAGGACGCCCGTACAGTGTGCGCACAGCCCCCAAAACGGGCGACAAAGTGAGGTTAGGTGTGACTGGGTCAGGAACTTTCGTCAAATGGCACACATTTTCCTGTTTTGAACGACGCATGGTCAGCTCACTTCCCGGGTAAGCATCGTATAGCTATGTGATCAAACAGTCAAGTGAACTCCAAGCAGAGTTTGCTGAAACTGCTGCCGATGGAGAGGTCTCCAATACTGTTATGTGGGTGTGTGGAAGGCCACACAACTGAAACTCAACAACAGAGAAACTGCCAGCCCTCATAGGTGCCTTAGATTTTGGGCAAAGTACTGAGATTTACACACAAATAAAAGCATTTGTGAATGGTTATGACATTTAAAAAAAAAACCTACCGCTGTCTATTTTGGGCAATTCCTTACTTCATGTCATTTGCGAGTGTGTAGTTGGGTTTGGAACTGTGTCGTCTGCGGACCTTCTGATTCGCCGCTTGGCCACACTACCCCTGCCAAGTGCAATGCCGCCTGGAGGTCTGCAGGTGGCGCCCGAGTTCTCCAGAGCCGCTCCAGCTGGTCGCCTCGCCTAGCTTCGCTTTCAGTGTGTGGTCCAAGGACCCCGCACGAATTTATGGCTGGCGCGGTAGAATTGCCGCCTTGCCCGCTGTACATGTATTTTCATAACGCCGGCCGGCTATCTCCAGCACTCAGCGGCGCGGTATTATAAGGCGGTGATAATCCGTTACCGTGTGCTTTAAGTGTGTCGTGCCTCTTGCCGGCCCAGCCGACACTCCTCGAAAAGTCCCGTTCAATTCCACTTGCGTTTGCGTTCCGTTTGAACGTACTCGTCCACTGCCGCTTTAAAATTCAGGCGGACTGGTGGTCAAGCCGCTGGCGAGTGCATCACTCCACTGGATGAGGGAGCGAGGCTGGCCGCCCTCGCCACCATAAATTCCCTCAGCGAGGTAGGCCGCCGTCCCTCCGGATATTACCTGGGCCGGCGGTACGCGGCCCACCCAAGGAGCGCGCGTCGCTGGAGCTGTGCTGGAGCGTTTCTGAAGCGTCGCTGGAGCTCGACTGGAAGGCATGCAGCGCTGGAAATACAGCTGGAGAAGTTTCTGGAGAATCGAGCGCCAAGATCCGACCGATGGCGGCTGACCGAGCGGCTCACTGCGTCTCGGGAGAAACGGGTGGACAGGGTGCCTCATGCATATTGATATATCGCGGCCTACCCTTCTCGGCTGGACAAGCCTGGCGCGACGACATCGCCTCCAGACAAAGCTGGTCACCTGACTCTGAAAACACGCTGCTTTTCTAAATCTTCAAGAAAGAAGTGATCCAATCCTATCTGAGGCAGAAGTTAAATTGCAAACAAAAAAAATAATGTAAAACGGTAAAAAACCGTGGGAAGTACTTTGAGAATACGCAAGGTGAGATCCAAAACTAAAAAATTACTTATTTTCTAGTTAAGCTTATGTGAGCTGAAACTACTTTCAACATTCAACTTTATTTGGAAGGCCTTGGGCAGTTGTAAAGCTTTGGAAGAGCCAATGATTTTGTTTGAAATGTGAATGTCCCTCGTCAATGGCAAATGCTTGTCGTGTTTTTGTCGCTTTCATTCACGTCAGCGTGTGATCTTTTCCCCGTGATTCCGCGTTAACGAGATTGGCAAACGGTTCGTCCCGCGGCAGGCCCGGGGGCGTTGCAGCGGCAAGCGCGTGGCATGTAAATGTGCATCAAAGAGTCGGACGGGTCAATCCGGGCGCGGTAACCAGACCACGTCCCAGCGACACTCTCCCAGCACATGATCGGCGTCACACTTTTTCCGAGAGTTCATAGTTTCCTACATTATTTCGTTGGTTCAAGCCCCTCCACCCTTTCTCCTCCCTCTCGGTCTCCCCTCCCCTCCCTCGCCCCTGGCCTCTGTCCTCGGCACGCAACCCTGTGCGCACGTTGCGGCATCGTTTCTCTGCCAGCTGCTCGAGAGAGGGGGGACTTCTGGAAGGGGGAGGGGGAGCACGCGGTGTCACGCCACAAGCGGACGTGCTACATACTTTATGGGCGACGCCGTTTACGCAGCCCCGTATCCTCCGCGCCCCACCGAGAGACCGTTAACTCCGGTCACGTGAGCACAACCCGGTAACTCGACCGAACGCGCGGTGCACTTACGCCCTTCTTCGCGGCGGACTCGAATCGCAGTCGCCGGTCGAGCGCGACGGCGCGGCGCCTCGGCATCGGATGTCTGTATAGTGCATTCGCGTGTCTCGCCGCCCTTCCCCGTCGACAAGTGCAACTTTTCGGTGTGGCGCTGTCTTCGCCGAGGGCCAGCGCCCTGATATACAGCCGCAATCTCAGATCCAGATGGAAATCAACCAATTTGTCATGTTGACACTTTCTCATTTTCGCACACGCGTTCGACACCGACACGGGCTTTGCTTGTGTAGTCGACATCGACCCGCTGCAGGTTTCCTTTCGACTGGACTCGGCAATGATGTTGGGATTTGCTATGAGGCATGCCCGCAGTGGGTATGTGTTAAGAGAGGCAAACTTATCCCATTGCCTTTAAAGTATATAAATCACAATATACAGTGTGTTTGTGAGTGTGTGCGTGCGACCTTTGTATGCAGGGCCCGCCCTTTGCCTGCCACTTCGTTTGCGCGCCAAACCCGCGCGCGCCAATGGCACCCCACCTTTAGCAGCATTTGCCTCGTAGCCATGTAATGGCGCCTTAAATGAGATTCATGTACGAGAGGTTAAGCCGGGACGTGGCGTGCTTGACCTTTTAAAGGAGTACGCTCTCTCTCGCGTTCTATCTGTCTCTCTCTCCCTCACACACTCACACACACGCACGCACACTTCCTCGCCAAGTGCGTCCTCGCGCCCTTCTCCTTGTACCCCTCCCAGAAAGTCGCCCCCCGTCTCATCAACTACGGGCGATTGTGTGGTCCCCAAGTTGCTGAATGAGTAGAGCAGCAATCTATCCGGGCAGCAGCATGGGGCCTGGGCCTGGGCCTGATTCCGGGCCTGGGCCTGGGCCCTGCCTCCTCTCCGTCGGTCAAGGCTCTCAATAAGATCAGCGAGAGTTTCTCGGCGAACAATCCGCTGCAAGCTGTTGCTGCTGCGAGTTTGTTGCCCCTTTGCCACGTGATGAAAGTTGAGGCAGACGCGCGTTATCCAGACTTATGAATTCGCACTCCTTTTATTGCGAGCGGCCGTCAAGGCGCGATGGCAACAAGGAGCCGCCCACTCGGCGCCCAGTTCCAAAGTGATAAATTTGTACTTGGAGAAGGCGCGGCAGATGTTGCGTTTTAATTTAATGTCTGTTTGCGGACGGGCCGCTTATTATTACTTGGTTTAATCAAGTCATCCGTCACTAGTCAGCCGAGGCGGCGATGGTGGCAGCGCTGCTGCTGCTACCAAGGCACTGATTGAGTCGGATTACATCGTCAGTCACATCTCTGCCTCGGAGAAGGTGCAGCCCATCGAGATAAGCAGATAGGCTGACAGAGGATGACCTTAGCCTCATTCTTGAGTTGATAGTCGAATTGGGCTGATTGGTTCAAGTACCCAGCATCGATCACTTGTGTAGTAAAAAGTTCAGATAAGGGACGGAAAATACCAGGTCAATTATGTCGACACAAGTAACGCGGGGCGTCCGTACTTCACCCAACAGTAAAGATTCCGTTCACGTTTTTCAAGCCTGTTTACATTGAACTGTAGCAGAAGATGAAGATAAACCTGTGTGGATTGCGCACTTTTCGTTTTAAAAATAAAAGTCCGTGCCACACTAACGGAAATTTTTGACAGGGAAAAGAACGTTTTAGAAATGCACTATATGAGACGCGTGTTTACGAGACACACTTGTATTATTGTACTTACGTATCAGTTCATTCTAAACTATACAGATATACACGCTTGCAGAAAGTGCATAAACAAATGCATACTTCCATGGATAGTACTGAGCAAATTTTAATATGGTGAGCTCGAGAATGATAAGTTTACTTGAACGGAGAGCAAACTTATTCAAACTTGTTTGGTCGGCGCTCTCCGGTTACATTTGGTTCCGCGGCTCCTGCGAGGTCCGTGTTGTGACATGTGGCCTCCGTTCTCAAGCGGCGCTGCCTGCCGCTGCCTTGGCTTTCTTTGTTTATCTCGCGGAAATAAAACGAAACCGCATTGTTGTCTTTTCGGAAGTGCAGCTGCTATCTCTCTAGTCGGGACCGTGACCGATAAAGGGGGCAGTAAAAGCCAGTTGAAGTTTCGCAGCTGAGCAGGTGATGGAGTCACTGAGCGCGCCTGGCGCGCCTGGCCGCCACGCTGCCGCGTTTAGTGAGGACTGAGGGAAGGGGAGCCGTTTACAGAGGACACGGACGGAACGAAAACGAGAGCGTGCCTCGCATCGTGTCCAGCACGATGCTGCTCTCTCTCCCCCTCTCTCTCTCTCTCTCTCTCTCTCTCTCTCTCTCTCTCTCTCTCTTCTTTGGCTCGTCCCTCGTTCCCACACTCAAATGCCGCAGGGAATTTCATTACTCGCGCCGGAATTTCGTGTCCACGTATGTCCCCTTTCTTCCCGCGGGCCTTCTGCCATGCTCCCACCCTTGGGGCTCCCACTTCCGCCCGGCCCCGTCCGTCCTGACGAGCAAAATGAAGAGACAGTGGCTGCGTCGTTTACGGCCCTGTCATTTGCCCCGCTAATTTAGCATCGAATGGAGAAGCCTTATTGGCCGCGGGCTCGGCTGCCACGTCACTCCGGCACCACTTCCAGCAAAGAGATAGAAAAAAATGGCGTCTTTGTTTGACGCACGCAAGAAGGGACAAGTTAATTAGCGACTTTTGTTTCTTGTCTGCCCCGCAGGAGCCTGGGGGACGAGGAAGTTCCGGACCGATTTCCTGCAGGACCTGCCCACCCCAGGGACGGGGCCCTTCTTCGACACGTCGGTGCCGACTAACCTAACCGGCATCGTGGGCAAGACGGCCTACCTCAACTGCAGGGTCAAGAACCTGGGCAACAGAACGGTGAGTGGAACAAGTGTTGGTGACAAATCTGTTTGAATGTTTTGTCAGAGGCAAAATGATGAAGATAGTAATGATTCAACGGGCCAGTGGAGGATCATAAGAGGTTTGGGGCAGAAGAAGCATATGGTATATATCTCGACGGTCATGGCCTGTCTCAGATGCTCATCTCGGCGGAAAAGACGCTTCATCCTCGTTTCCTTATTTGACTTATCCTTGTGGCAAAGATTTAGCAACGATAGAGGATCGGAAATTCCGTTCATCTGTGTTGCCCAAATGGCATTTGCGGTGTTCCTATTTCTGTAATTCTCTCCTGCCCAGAGCCAGGCGTTGCGGTGTCCAATGCTTACGATGACACTCCCATGCAACTCGTGCGGAGAACTTGTTGACAGCGGTAGAGCCCTCCGAGCAGTCCGATTGGCCAGGCAGAACAGGTGTGGCTGCGTCCTGCTGGCACTGTCCTGCAGACTGGAGTCCGCTCTGTCTCTGTCGCACTCATGGGTCGCCCCTCAAGAGAGACAGAGAAAGACTAGTCTCCGGAACCAGTCCACTGGGTCCCGCGGCTGCGGCTCACGCGTCGCGGTGAGGCTGGCTGGCCGGGTCGGGCCTTGGAGCTGTGTGATTAATCGGGGGACTAGCGGTGAACGAGTTGGGGGACAGGGGGTCTCCGCGGGATTACCAAACGGGATTACCTTCCTCCTGACCCAGGCCACGGGGCCCAGGCCACGGGGCCGCCACGCCACGGGGCCGCCACGCCACGCCCCGGGGCTCGAGCCCCACAGGCTCTAGAGCCCCGTGATCAGGCGCGGCGCAGCGCCAGTCCTCTCGAGAACACCGAGTCCTCCAGCACACACGACTAGACCCAAGCGAGCAGCCTTGAGGAGTCTGAAGAGAGGCAGAGAGGGAGTGAGAGACAGAGAGAGAGAGAGAGAGAGAGAGAGAGAGAGAGAGAGGTGAGACGACGACGACGTGTTCGCGCAGCCAATGACAGGCGAATGGAAAGCCCTGGACCCTGCAAGGATGAGTTCAGGACGTTTAGCGTATTGCAAACCAATTTCTTGAAATTATTGTGATATTTTAAAATCCAACACACTGAGAAAAAAGGCCTATTGTCATGACTTCATATGGCATACATTAGTCTCTCGGAATTTTAGGATGCGAGTCGGCGGAACGCCGTGCTTTCTTTAACGCGTTCCGAAACGACCTCGCGACGCGACTGCTGTGACTAGCGGAGTGAAACTGGAGGCGTCGCTGCCAGCGGGCGGGGGGCAGGGCGGTGGGGTTAAGAGAAGCAGCCAGCGGTGAGGGAAGCATGGAAGGGGGAGGGCTGCACTGAGTGTTAATTAGTGGAATGGGCCTTGTGTGGCCGGGAGCGCGTTTCAGCGAGAGAGGAAGGGGACGGGAGGGCTAAACAACGCATGCGACAAGTAGCTCTGGCCAGGCGACGTCAGGTCAAGAGGAGCTTGCGCGTTGTAGGGCCGCCCTAGCCTAGCCTAGGGCGGCCCGGGGTAAACGAGCACTTGCGGCCCGTTAAAGCCCTTCAGGGGGTGATCGCTATCCCGCTGTCCCCACCCCGCCCCGCCCTGCCCCGCCCCACCCCGCCCTGCCCCGCCCCGGCCCGCCCACGTCGTCCAGACACCCGCCTTTTGCATGGAAAGCAGTGTTGTTGTTGCTGGAGTTGTCTCGGTTCTCCAAGACGCGCCGAACTCGAACCTGCACTGGCGAGGCCCCTCAAACCCTGCTGGACACCCGGCAAAAACTAGAAAACCGAGGCACCATGGAACACCAACGCAAGTGCAGTCTAAACTTTGGTCAGGGCTGATTATTGTCAAATGTACCTACTGAAACGTTCTTTCGGGACCGTAGAGGAGTGTCAGTTGGCGCAATCAAGTCACTGGCCGTGTTTGTGACGCTGACTGGGCGCTGCGGAGAGGCGTGTAACGCGCCGCTGATGCCATTGTCCCTCCCCGCCCCCAGCGCCGCCCCCAACGCCGCCCCAAGCGCTTCCTGTCTCGGCCTCCACTGCCCCCTGACGATCAGATGGTTGGCTGCGCCGCTCGGAGGCCAGGAAGTCCGCCATCGCGGTCCACTGCTGCGTCGTGTGGGCTCAGAGGCTCGCTGCCGGGCGACCGCCCGTACCGCCACCACGCGTGTTGGAGGGTCTTTGGCTTTGAGGAGACTTAGCAGCTGCGGCGGCGGTCGGCCGGCCGGCCGGCAGTGAAGATCCAGCCGTCCCCAGCCGACACCATTTGGGCGGGGGCGAGCTAGGACGTCGTCATCGCGCTGCCTCTCTCTCTCTCTCTCTCTCTCTCTCTCTCTCTCTCTCTCTCTCTCTCTCTCTCTCGCTCTCGCTCTCTCTCTCGGGGTGCTTACGATGGGCTGATGGGGCGAGAGGCCGGGTGACCGTGGCCGAGATAAGCCCTCACAGCTACTCCCCCTCCCTTCTTTCCGCACGCGGCCCCTTTGAGCGCTACAAGCTTCTCTCCGCGCGGCGTCGCCCAGAAAGGGCGCCCGTGTTTCCATTATTCGTTGCTTGACGCGCCACTTCTTCACGCTGCTCATCGCCGCCGTCGTCCCGTTCCAGCCGAGTGGCGCGCTTCTCTCTCGCACTCACGGGCACGTCCCGTGCAGGGGCGAGAGAGATGGAAGCGTGCGGTCGGGAAGGAGCGTCCAGGTGACCCCGCGCCCCCAAAACGGATTCGGAAATTACGTGTTGCCGCCGAGTGCGTCCCGCGGGGCCCGGCCACGCCCAGCCACGCCACGCCGTCTGCTCCGCGGATGCCGGGACTAGTTGCCCCTAAAATGGGGGGGGGGAGGAATTGGGCGGGCTGGCGGTGACTCGGGAGCGGCCGCTCGCACTGGCAGGAGTAGCTGCTGGATAGCGAAAGTTGAGCCATAACCCGCTCCCCCCTCCAGCACCCCGCCATGGCCACTGCCCCCCTCCAGCTGCACTGGTCGGGCCGTGGGAGTATAAAGCGGTTTGGGGGACCGGAAAGCGGTGCAGGGAGGAGGGGGGGCAGTCGGCGACCAGCGCACACACCTTCGAGATAAGGGTCCCAAGCGATCCCCTGGCGCCCCGGCCTGTTTGGGCCGGCCAGCGTGGTGGGGGTTGGAGGATGGGTACTGGTCGGGGTACTCCGGGCGAGGGCGAGTTGCACTCGCTGTGGCTCAATGCATTTAATTGGCTAGCCCGGATCAGCTTCATGGTGGTTGAGCTGCTTTGCCACACCTCCCCCCATTTAGGCGTGCCGGGGTGGCAACACGGCACGACGTGGCACGGAGGCACAGTGGGCCAGAAGGCCAGTGGAGGCGGTCCAAATTCGAGACGCGTTTTGCGCTCCAGAGTCGCCAAATGGGCCTCGAACCGAACGTGTGACCCCACCAATGGATTGCTCTCCGAACGAGGAATTCATTCGTGGGGTTCCACGTTCGGTTCGCGTCCCGTTTAGCGACACTGAAGCTTAAAACGCGTCTCGAGTTTTCCCCGCCCTCACCGGTCTTCTGGCCCACTGTGCGGGGGCCGCTTGGCATTCCAGAAGCAGAAAACGTTGTTTCCCAGTGCTGTGCCGACCGGGGCGAAACAAGCGCCGGTTTACATCGACCGTATCGCGTCGGCAGCACGACATCCGGGAGCCGGAAAAGTCGGAAACGGTGACGACGAAAGACAAAGCGTGCACGCGTCAGCGACGTGGCGCGGCGCGGCGCGGCTCGGCGGGGTGCAGCGCAGAGACGAAAGCCCCATTTCCTGGCCTAGTATGACGGGATGGTTTTCATACCGCAGTCTTCCGGCCTCTCGACGGGTCTGCAGTATACGCACGCCACCCAACTCGTTTTTGTTCGCTGTCAGAGCCTCGCTCACAGCACGGCCTGCGCCGAGTATTTTCGTTGTGATAAAGCATAAATTTGGCCGTCGTGAAGACATTTTCCGTTTGTTTGAGTTTTGAATTAGTTCCGCTCCCTTGTTTTTTTTTCGCTTGTCTTGCGAACGTTATGGAAACCACAATGGCAATACGACTTCCGATTAATCTCCTAAAAAATTTTTCGGCTCTCCTCTGTCTTCGTCTCTTTTCAGACGTCTATTGACGGTCCGCGAAAAGCAGCGTGATGCTGCTGTCCTGCTGGTCTCGGCGTGCTGGGTCCAGTCCCCGCCGCTTCGTTAGGGTTGGGGCGGCTAGGGCTGTGTTGCCGCGCGTCGCTCACCGGGGCCATCTTTTTGCCACCGCGTCGCCGCCGCTGACGCTACTGAGGCCCCAGGGGGACGGGCACGGGGACGTCAGCCAGCGCCGCTGCACTGCCGAGAAAACACTACGCTTGCGTTGACCTTGCACTTTAGCGACTCTGGAGCTTAAAACGCGTCTAGAGTTTTGTCCGCCCCACTGGTCTTCTGGCCCACTGTGGACTTTCGCGCGTGCGGAAAAACCCGTGTTGGCGCACTGTAAGCGGAGAGTCTCGACAATGTGTCGGCTTTCCCTTGCTCGGCCTGGGCCGGCTTACGCAATGCTCACGCAGTGGCCATCGCGGCGTTGCCCCAAAACGCCCACTTATGCTAATCCAGCTCAGGCCGGTCGGCCGAGGCTCAGGCCAGTCATCGATATCGGTGATAAATGCGTCGCGATTAATCTCGGAAGGGGATTGCGAGCGCTTCGACACCAGGTTGCGAGCCCCGAGATCAAGCCGGCCAAAAAAGGGGGCTCGGTGTGGTTTTTTGAACGGACCCAACGACGCTCATGGGGCCCCGCGCATCGTGACAAAATAGACTGTGCAATGTCGAAAATATTATCCATTGTCAAAATTATTATCCATTGTCAAAATTATTATCCATTGTCATAATTATTATGCATAGTCAAAATTATTTTGCATTGTCAAAATTATTATCCATTGTGAAAAATATGCAAGCAGTCCGGAAATCGTTATTTTTTTTCTGTCTGAGCATTTTGTCACCCAACTACATCACTGCTTTTTTTCTCCTTTTTTTGGGAGAGGGTTGATTGACCGTTGACCTC